AGGGGCAGCATGGTTGCTTCCAGGTTCTTGCTATTGTGAACAATGCTGCGATAAACATACGCATGCAGGTATCTTTTTTATGGAGTGATTTGAGTTCTTCAGGGTATATTCCCAGTAGGGGGACTGCAGGGTCATATGGGAGGTTGATATTTAGAGCTTTTAGGAATCGCCACACTGCTTGCCACAGAGGTTACCCTAGTTTACACTCCCACCAACAGTGTAGAAGTGTTCCCTTTTCACCACACCCTCTCCAACAACTGTTATTTTTTGAGTTATTGATAATTGCCATTCTGACTGGAGTTAGGTGGTATCTCAGTGTGGTTTTGATTTGCATCTCCCTGATGATTAGTGAGTTTGAACATTTCTTCATGTGTCTGTTGGCTGCTTGGATGTCTTCCTTTGTGAAGTGTCTGTTCATATCTTTTGCCCATTTTATAATGGGGTTGTTTGTTTGTTTTTGTTTCAGCACATTTGAGTTCCTTGTAGATCCAAGATGTTAAGCCTTTGTCAGACCTGGAGTTGGCAAATACTTTTTCCCAGTCTATAGGCTGTCTCCCTGCTCCCTTGATGGTTTCTTTGGCTTTGCAGAAGCTTGTCAGTTTAATGAGGTCCCATTTGTCTATCTTCTCTCTTATGGCCTGTGGGTTTTGGGTCTTGTTCAGGAATTGGATGCCAGTTCCGATTTCCATGAGGGTATGTCCTTCGTTTTCTAAGATTCTTATTGTTTGAGGTTTTACATTTAGGTCTTTGGTCCATTTAGAGTTTATTTTTGTGCATGGTGATAGGTAAGGATCCTGTTTCAATCTTCTGCATGTGATCAGCTAGGGAAACTCATTTTGACAGGGAATAGACAATTTCCAACATAAGCAAATGGCTAATAGACAATTTCCATAAAGCAATGGCTAAACATTAACTTTTCTAAGAAAATAATTACACACAGGTAGCAAGTTGGAGGAATCCTATTATATATATAACTGTATCCCAGAGAGTTTTTGTCATATATTTTTCTAAGGATAAAGTTATCCATATGATGAACAATGACCTAGCATACTCCCACCTATCACCATACACAAAAATCAACTCTAAATGGATCAAAGACCTAAATATAAAAACCCAAACTATTAGAATCTTAAAAACTGCAAAACAGAAATAGAACAGATACGAAATGAGAAAAGCTGATACCTCAGTATATTTCAAAGCTATTTTTTAGTTTCTTGAGATGACTGACATATATTTGAAAATAAGTCTTAAGACATACACTCACATCACTTGTATACCTAATCCTGAATTGTACCCTACATCTTTAAAATAAAATAATTTTTTTTAAAAAGGCATATGCTCATCACTTATTTAACAAAAAAATTATTGTTCACTGGGTTAGGTGCTCAACATACAAAGTTAACAACATGTGTTCTCTGTGTACAGGAATGTACAATCTAGGGAAGGAAATAAGCATGAAAATCTATCTTTAAAACACACTGTGATAAAGTGATAAAATTATATTTAAGATGTTGTATACTACATCATAGAAACCCTTTACTCACGATTTGAAAACTGGGCACAGTGGCTAATGCCTGTAAAACCAGTACTTTGGGAGGCAGAGGCAAGAGGATTACCTGAGCCCAGGGTTTCAAGACCAGCCTGGGCAAGTTGGCAAGACCTCACCCCTATAATAAATTTTAAAAATTTAACCAGACATGGTGGCTACATGCCTATAGTTCCAGCTGTTCAAGGGGGGTGATGTGGAAAGATCACCTGAGCCCAGCAGGTTGAAGCTGCGGTGGCCGTGAGAGTTCCACTGCACTCCAGCCTGGGCAACAGAATGAGACTCCGACTCAAAAAAAAAAAGGATTTGGAAAGAAATGTCTCCAAAACAGAGTGGCAGCATCAGAGTTTATGAAGTGAAGCAGCTTTGAAGGATCATATGCTTCACATGCTCGCTAATTTTTCTCACCACAGCCATGACACCTTGGTGCATGAGAGCATTACAGTAACATTTCCCTTCTAGTGGAAAATAATTGCATTTAGTCAAATTTATTTTGATCCCTTACAGGTGAGTGTCATTAACAACGAACATTGTTGTAAGCATCCCCTTCCTAAACAGCACCAGAGGTGATCGGAGCAAGGTCCCAGTCTAACTTTCTCCCTTAAAGTTTTTATTAAGGACTCAAAATGATATCAGTGATGGTGGTGATTAAGGTGACAATAGTGGTGATACCAGTTGCTACTAATTCTTGATCATATCTGTGCTTAAAACCCTGAGCTAATATTTATTATTTCATTGAATCCTTACAACCACCTCGAGAAGAAAGCAATATTATGCCCATATTACAGATTAAGGCAGTAAGACTCAGGTCCAATAACTTGCCCAAGGTCACATAGATAGTCAAGTAGTAGAGCTGGAATTTGAATCCACAACTGATTGTCTCCAAGGCCTGTGTGGCAGGCAGTTACCCTACCCTGACTGTCATGAGGAAAGAATTGGATTCTACAGCCTTCTTATTGTGTTTTTGGCAATGGCTTAGTAATTATCTGATTCCTAATAATGAAACATTGGTTGTTGAGATTTTGCTTCTTTTATCTCCTTTCCTTTCTTATGCATACTTTTAGAAGACATTATGAGTGGTTTTTAGGGATATGTACACATACATCAACTATGTGTGCACTTGTCAATGTGTGATCATGCATCGAAAGAAAAAAGTGTGTAGGCAACAGATCCATTTTGGAAATAAACCTGGTTGAGTCCCAACCTTTCCACTTACTAGGCATGTGATTTTAGAGTAAGTCATTCAAACTCTCTGAGTGTCAGTCTGATTACCTTTAAAAGGGAGATAATAACAATTCAGTACTGTGTGGTTATATGGGGCGTAAGTGAGGAAACTTATATATAGTACCTGGCACAGAGTTAACTACTTAGTGTTTGTCATTTGCTCTTCTAACTTCTCTCTCCTCTTGATGCTTTTATACTATAATTCTATTTCAGTTTTTACAAAGACCGAAGATCAGTGTATGAGGGAGGACCCCCAAAAATAATTTATTTTAAAATGTGTATCTATTTTTTCATGGTTTTTATTTCACCTCTTTCACATCAGCAAACGTTTCTCTTTGAGGATTTGTTTTTATCCAGGGAAACAAAAACAAGTTGTTCGAGGTGAAATCAGGTGAATAGAGAGGTGGGACACGAGGGTCATGCCACTTTTTGGTCAAAAACTACTGAACACTCAGTGGGCTTTACATGTTGTTTATGTAAATCACCCATCATTAAATTGGCAAATGTGTTGAAAGAATATTTTTTAAAAATTCACTGAAGCCAAACACAACCAACAACAACGCTAGCTGATACGCTGATGCCAATGGGTTCCTAGAACACTTACCTAGCAGGGGAGAACAAGGGACTCCCCTGGTGAAAAATAATTCAGGGTCTTTTTGGGTCCCCTCTTGTATATGCCAGCCCTTGCAAGAGGAGTTTAAATACTATAGAAAGAGCAACATGGCACCCCCAGCTACTAGGCATAGTTGTTGTTTCCTACTCTCCCCACCACAAGGAACTCTAAATTTAAAATATCCTGCTATACAGAATTCATAGTTTTCTATGACTATAAGCCTTTAATTTAGCTGGGCCACTGTTGGTTCAAGCCATCTCACCACGTAGGGTATGAATACTCTACTTTTAATTGATTTCAGCATCAACTATCCTATGTGGATATTCAGTAACTTCCACAAATATCGTTGGGAGTCTTTCTCCTGGTTCCCAAACCTACAATTCAGGTCTGAGTCTAAAAAGTGTGAACTCTGGCTGCTATATCAGTGAGTACCCTGTTGGACGTGGGGACTTTGCAAAGTTTTAATGATACTTTTTCTTCAACACCATTCACTATAAATTTCATTTGTTAAGCACTTATTTTAATGCATCAAATTCATCTCAAACTAACACAGCAGACCAGAAAGCAAGTGCACACTCTTTTGCATAATGCATAATATATATACAATAGCATAAAGCCATTGAGAACTCTGCGCTTGTCACACAACTATGTGTTGTATACTCAGACCAACCTCGTCAGAAGTCTGACCATGTGCTGGGTGAGGTACTTGACTGTAATCAGATAAGGTGGCCCTTATTCACCTGCTCTCTACAGAGCCATACATATATTCTCTTAAATGACTTTGCCCTAATTCAAAATTTTCTTTTTTAGCCACATAAACAGAAGAACACAGTTTGAAAACCCTGTCCTGGAAGCAAAAAGGAAGCTACAGCAGCATAACATGCCCCACACAGAACTTGGAACAAAGCCCCTGCAGGCCCCAGGTTTCCGAGGTACGATACCATGTCAGCATGCGATGTTTTGAAAGGAAAATTCTGTCAAACTGCCTGCTCTTCCAAATATATCTGTAGCTTGGACCATTTTGAATAATTGATTTTTTCTCTCCAAACCCTTCTATTTATTAGCTTTAGCTTTAGCTGGGTGTTTGCACTGTCTCCAAACTAATGCCTTTAGTAACCACAGATGAAATTAAAGCCTCAGGCAGTACCTTATAAGAATTTACAGCATGTTGCTAGGTGGAGATTAATGGGTTTTGACAGTGGTACTGTAAACTGCAGAGATTCATAGAGACTCATAAGTTTGTCCTCAAAAGACCAAGCACAAGAATGAGGCTTGTTCTCCTTTGTGACAGTAGACAGCTTATCATCGACATTACCTAGGCCCAAATCCATCCGCCCCCGTGCTGCCCCGGAGAGGTCGCGCAGCGTGAATGACTTGTCTTACTATCAGCGCGACCACGCAGGGAGGCCCTGGATGTTCGGTATGTCCCAGCATTGCTTGCTGGACCTGACTACACCTGGGAGCCACGTAGTGGGATGAATTTCTGCACAAACTTTTCATATCTCTAGGGCATCTGCTCATAAATAAAACCACCAAAGAGACTTTGGAGTCAGGAGGCTTAGATTTGCCTGCTGATAGTTTTCATAATATACCACTGCAGCACAATTATATGAATGTAAAGGTCTTCTCTCCAATCATAAACATTACTTTGATAAAGGAATCATAGGTGAAAAGATTATATGTGGCTGTTATTTATATCTTAAAGTAGCTCTCTTTTTAGTAAAGAGATATATGTGATTTGTAAGTAGACATACAGGAAAACACTAATAGTGTTATTTTATAGTTTGTTATTTACATTTCACCCAAAATGTAACAGCGAAAGTATCAGACAAAGTACTTATCTGAGTTACCATATATAATTTGGCTATTACAAATATCAAATCATATCACCTAAAATGTAACAAATACAAAATGCATCATATAAAATACTTAGCTGGGATGAAATTTAAGGCAGATATTAATTCTGTTTCCTAGTATTACCATTATTTTTAAACCATTTAATATGCTTAGGTATGTGTTTGTTACAGACCATAGACAGAAAAACATATTATATAACAAATTAATGAGTAAATCCATATGAGTGGGTTCAACTTCTATTCAGATTATTTGTGCAAATGACTTGAATTTATCAACATATTATTACAAATTGTATTACCTTTACATTCATAATTATGTCTAAAAATATTGGCTTGTTTTTTTGTTCACGTTTTAAAGTATGAAACACTATTGGGTCAATAACAGTGTATTGGTTATTTCTATAGTATCTCACCATATAGAGGTGTAAGCAAAAGTCAGTCCCACATCCAGGTACTCTTTCTAAACAATCTGGACCTTTGCATATATGATCACATTCCACTGCTGCTCTGTTTGTAATATCTGCATCTGCTTAAATGTTGTTCTCTTATTGTCTTTAAAACGACAAAAAGGTTCATTTTGTTTTTCGAACCCTGCCTTCATCAAGGTTCGGTACAGGACCGGCCACTCATACGTGCCTCCTACCTCAAATCTTTCATATTAACAAGAGGAACATATATAGATGGGTCTAGACGATTTGGGCTCCTTGTCCTCTTATCTGAAGGCTCTGGCAGCCTGTGATGCAGCACTTTGTAGATACAAGAAAGCTCGTTTCATGGATGGTAACATTGACTTAACAAAAAGTCTCTCACCAAATGCAATAGCTTTTGCATCTTTCCCTGGATGCCTGGGACTGCTCTGCATTTGTAGGAGGTTCTAATATAGTTTTGCTCCTCTTGCAGTCACCACCTGCTTGCATTTATGATATAAGACCCCCCCCCACGTTTACCCCTCGGATTGCTGCTGCTCAGTAGCTGGCTTTCTCTTGTCTAAGAACGTGCCTTAAACATGTTTTTCTTTTTTAACTTATATTGGCCAATGTAGAAAAACCACTCTTCACCCGGGATGCATCCCAGTTGAAGGGAACATTCCTCAGCACCACCCTAAAAAAGAGCAACATGGGTTTTGGATTTACCATCATTGGTGGAGATGAGCCGGATGAGTTTCTGCAGGTGAAAAGTGTGATTCCAGATGGGCCTGCAGCACAGGATGGAAAAATGGAAACGGGTAAGTTCATTGATGATTTGAAAACATTTTTTGCAACATCTTTCTTCTAAAGGCAAATAATAAGATTATTTTGTGTTTTTAATTCAAAAGTCAAAGGTCACTTCATTTTAGGAAAACTATAAATTATGTTTTCTCTAAGTTTAAGATGATCAAGTTGAGGTAATTTGGAGACAACTTTGAATATCATTTTTGTCTCATTTTTTTAGACCGCCCCTTTGGTTTGCGGGATTCAATGGACTCTTGAGATTGACACGTTTCTGATTTACCTCTAGAGTTCCTTCTTAGGGATGTGATTAACATTTCGCACTTTTCTAACTTATATTCAGCCTTTAATATTTTTAAATCTGTATTACTCTTATGGTATTCTCATGCTAAATTACCCAGGTTAAATATTTAAATATGCATGCCCATCTCATAGAGAAAAATTTTAAATGCATTTGTCTTTATATATCCCCATACAATGTTTTAATATATGAGTTTTTTTCCAGTCCTTACAAATTAATTTTCATATATAATTACTTGGATGTCTATCCAAATTATAATTGAAATTTATTTCACATGAAATACAGAAGCAAATTGTTAAGGGCAGGGACACATAAAATGTGAAAATTGCACAGAGCAAAGGAAAAAGTAATGAACTAGGTCTAATTTCACAGTCTGATTTTAAATTCTCCTACCTGGCCCATGACCTTGGGTAAGTCCTATAACTTATAAATATTAATTTCCTTATCTAGAAAAAAGTATATAACTAAATTTGATGTTATGTATTTAAAATGCTGATTCAAGTGTTGTACAGCATAATTTTTTTAAATGCCTTTGAAGGACTATTATAAGTTCAATAACTATATCTCCAAAGAAGTATATTGCATCACCATTTCACATTTTTCACATTGGATTAATTTGTGATATCAACCTTCTAAAACCAATGGGTTCTAGTAGGTATAAAAATTAGATAATTACTTTAGAGGAAAAGTTCTACTATTTTTATGACCAACAAATTTATGAATTATTCTTCCATGGATTGTAAAGTGGCTTGTATACGGAGAAACAACACAAAATTGAGGTCTTCACTGGACATTTTAAATTTTATAAAACCACAAATGCTATATCACCATTTATGACATAGTTTCTGTATAAATTACTTTTCTTCAAGGTGCCCCTATATTTGTCACCACCACTGCATGTAATAGAGTTATATCTTAACAGTTGAGGTGATGTTTCAAAACTAACTCACCAATTTTTCCAAACACTACAGTTATAAAAGTCATATGTACATAATTTTCTAAAAGAGTGAAGTAGAGAATGTCCAACTTTACTGTTCTTCTGGTGATGGTTTACTAAGATCCACACGTTCTTTTTGCCAAAAAAACCACAAACATTAAATGACTCAATTAAAAACTCATCCTATTGCCTACAATTAGGATAAAAGAAAATTATAGGATTAATACCATTTTAGCAGAGGAGAAAGGATCCCCAAAACTTTTGAATCTCAGTGAAATATTTGATAAATCCATTTATTATAGTAATAAAAACCTAGTTATTTTTCTCTGATACAACCCACTATTCCATATTTCAAAACTAGAAAAGACTTCCTTTAGTGTGAACTTAAAAACAAAATTAAATTAAAATATTTGCACAGCAAATGTTTTTTCTTTCTTACTCATTTTACTAGTTTGCCACACCCACACTGTCTAAGTTAGCCATATTCAACAACAAAGTCAAGGCTTTATTAAGAATTTAGCAGATTTTCTTCATTTAAGATAATCACAAAACAGGTCCTAATGGAGAAGAACCAAGGATTTAATTCTATTTAGTCTTCTATTTAGTCCTCTATCTAACAAATACTTGTTGAACACCTCCCTGTCATAGTGATTGCAGTGCACCAGGGCTACAAAGCTGAAACTGACATAGGTCTGGATTAAAGAGTTTACATCTTGGACACATAAACAAGTAATTGTGACAAAATATAATGGATCTAAAATAACAATGTTGGCACAAAGTCAGGAGACTGGGGGAAGTCAGCAACAGAAAAACAATTTTTCTTTAAGACACAGGGTCTTGTTATGTTGCCCAGGCTAGCCTCCAACTTCTGGGCTCAAGGGACTGTCCCACCTCAGCCTCCCACATAGCTGGAACTACAGGTGCATGCTACTATGCCCAGCTAAGCAACAGAATTTTTTTTAAGTTTGTTGTTAACTATATAATTTTATTAGGCTCTTGTAGAGGTGATAATTTCCCTCATTGGAAAGTTTAATAAAACAAAATGTGTTGCTAATTATATATTGAAAAAATTTTAAATGCTTACTTCTGATTATGAGATAATTTGAAATTAAATGTAAACACATTTCTGTGACATTCCACAAGTGTTAATAGAGGGAATGGCTCTTCAGTTCAATTCACCAAATATTTAGTGAGCATGCCAGACATTCTTCTAATCACTAAGGGTACAAAAATGAGGAGACAAATGTTTCTGTCCTCAAGAAGTTTGCCATACAGAAATCATGAGTGACATCTTTACAAATATATCCATGCAATAATAAAAATATGCACTAAGTGAAGAAATCCTACAAAGGAGAGGAGGATCAATTCTGTTGGAAGGTGCCTAGGGAAGGTTTCATGGAGAAGATGATGCCTGACAGAGTTTTGAATGGTTAATAGGGGTTTGCTACATGGACAAATGAGGGAGGCTATGGGAAAAGGAGACAGCATATGCAGAGGCACAGTGGTGGGAAATGCCTAGAAGAACCCATATGCCATCACAGTGCACATGAATATTTCACATTCAGTGTGAGTTTATAGTATAGGGTAAAATGGTGCATGGAAAGATTAACTATTTAGACTTGCAACAAATATCAAACAACAGTATGTAGTCATATATCCTCAAATTTAAAAAATATCATACATGCCTACATCCCTGTATCTAAACCATTCTCATGTTAATTTTCAACCAATCTGGTCTAGAGGTTTACTCTGTGACTGATGTTTTGTTTACTTATCTATCCCGGAAACCTAAAACAGTGCTGAGCAAAGAGCAGGTACTCTTAAGTACTTTTTGGAGGGTGAGTAGGCAGGTGGGTGGGTGGGTGGGTGGATGGCTGGATGGCTGCTTTTATAAACGAAGAAGTGAAATCTGAATGGACTGAATTCCTCTGTAAAAGTACTGCTTCGTCAATGCTAGTTTGACAAGGTAGCTTACCAGTGAAGCAAAAACAAATCAACTTTTTAGTTTTTGTATGAAATTTAAAAGACAAGTACAGGTTAAAGACAAAATAATTTCCTTTTTTATAATTACTTTATACATACAATGAACCTCAAAAATTAACAAAAGTAATAGAAGCTACAAATATAAAAGATAAATCACTGGTATTTAAAAAGTAAGCTGTCTCACTTGACATTGAAATAAACCAAAAAAATTTTAATCAACTTTTCTAGTTCTAGATGATCTCTAATTTAGGCAAAGAGATATTGATAGTTTATATGGGCACAAAGGAATATCCACTATACGAAAAAGTTGACCTAGGGTTCTACACAAGAGAAGCAGGGTTGGGTGGGGAATTTTTTCTTCCTTAGTCAGCACTGACTCCTGAGAATGGCTAGAGAACAGGAGAAAATGAGGGCAGTGTGCCTTCGGCTGTTTTTTGACAACCAATTGAGCCAATCCCTAGTGGTTCTGTAATGTTCCAGAAGAAGGTTTCTCAGAAGAAATTACCATAGTGCCCAGAAACCATCTGACTTCTGATTTTTTTTTTTTTTTTTTTTGAGTTGAAGTCTCACTCGGTCACCCAGACTGGAGTGCAGTGGCCGCTTCCGGCTGCTACAGCCTCGCCTGCTGGGCTCCAGCGATCCCTCCGTCTCAGCCTTCTGGGTAGCCAGAATTACAGGCGTGCGCTACCACGCCCGGCTGATTTTTTTTTTTTTTTGATTTATTGTAGAGATGAGGTCTCGCTGCCCAGGCGGGTCTCGAACCCGCGGACTCAGGCAATCCACTCACCTCAGCCTCCCAAAGGCGCGGGATTACAGGCTGAGCCACCGAGCCCGGCATTTCTGATTATTAAGGATTCTGCACATCCCAGCAATCATTTATAGGCACCAGAGAACCATATAACATTCTTTAAAGTATTATAAAAATCAAGTTTGATATAATATGGGTTACAAAGAAAACAGAGAGGCTGAAAGATAGTTACTTATCTAGCATCCTGCAGTTAAAAATCATCCCTCATTACATAATGTTTCATGTTTTTCCCCAGGCTTAATTTTTGATCAAGGATTGTGGTTTTCAATATATACACGAGGGAAGAAAGCTGCCCTATCCGTGAAGTGTTCCCATAGACAGGGGTTTAGTTATGAGGTCACTTACAACCTGTTAGTTTGTATTTGCCTTGTTTTTGTATTCATTCATTTTATTAGTAAAGTCACAAGAAAGTATCCTGAGAGAAAAAACATTCTAGCATTATTTAACCACTGACATTTCTTCTTTTGAGCAGATAGATGCCATTGCTCTTTTACTGGTCGCTACCTCTTTATCTATGTTTCTGAAACAAGTTTAACTTTGTTAGAATCACCTGGAAGCTTTTAAAACACAGATTCTTGTGCCCTCAGACCTACTGATTCAAGAGTTCTGGAAAATGGTGTTCAGAATATGTATGTATATACTTAAGGAAGTTGTCAAAGCAGTACATACATATTGTTGTTGTTTTTTTTTTAAAAAAGACATCAAAATATTCATAATCCATAAAATATCTCCTGCTCTGCATCTCTCCACACTCAAGATCTGTATCCCAGAACCAACTGCTTAGTTTGTATTCTTTTAGGTGCTTCTTTTGGTAGCTTGCTTCACATTTCTAATAAATATGCTAATACAGTTGTTTGGATTTGACAGTATAGACATGACCTATATTTACCTCCTTTTAGCAATAAGTAAAGCTTTAGCTCTGCTTATCTACTCTCGCATGTCCACCTAATAGAGTTTTACAATAAATTTTAATGAAATTTGATATAGT